CATTTTTAATTTTAGAATTTCTGAATGCCATCTTACGAGATTTAAACTGATGATCTATAATCCGGAAAAATCGATAATCCGGAATCGCCGAAGTCCCGACGAATCCGGATTAACGACTTTTGACTGTATAACATACTATTTCATGGGATGAGAAGCCAAAAAATAATAATAATTCTTTTTCCAGCAAACCAATGGAAAAACGTAAAATAATTAATGCATCACTAATGAGAATAGAGATAATGCTAAAATAATATGAGAGCATGGAAAGAAATTTGTTACTCTTCCGTTATCAGGACCAGATTCAGAAGTGTGTGTATGTTGAAAACAAAGACAGAAGAGTCAAACACTTTCTAATCATCATGTCCTGTAATTTTAGCTGTCAAGCAGAATGGTACTGAATAAAAAATTTTCCCTGAATCTGATCCGATAACAACATGAAAACAAATGTAAGATCTGCACAACTGACAATTTTTGTTCTCCATACTTGGTTATATAGTTAAGTCTGCAGGAGCTCTGCAATGACAGGGCAGGAGCTCAGCATTACCAAGGAAATCACTTTTAGCACTTTTGGCCACATTTTAGCCACCTCATAAATGCAATGCACCACCTGGAAAATAAGCCTTTGACATGTGGGATGGGGTCTTTTCTTTCCTTAAAAGTCTTAATCTCCAACAGAGTGTTTGTTTTTCAGAGAAAGATGGAAAAGCATTCGGAAGTAGCAATTCATTTTTTAAATAAAATTTGTCTACTGTAACTGTATTTCACTTACATAAAAGAAGTGCAGAAGCCCCTTTATTTAGGTCTCCAGTATTGACTAGAATTACGATTTACCTCAGAAACTGAGAAGTACAAGAGTCGGGCTCTAGTAGGCTCCGGCGCAAGTTAAATCTGCATTAATGATAAAATGAATGTTCTCTGAAATATCTATTTTCTATAATATATTACCATTCATCATTATCGCTAACTACAGATTCCTTTTATGTTATAAAAATAGAATATTTCCATAAAACATCTGGCATAAAGTAAAAAAGCAATCACCTTCAGCTTATAAGAATCAAGTTTTTCTGGGCCTTCAAAAAACTCAGTGAATTATACCAAATTGTTGTCAGAATTTAAAATAACATTACAACAAATAAATGTAACAGTAAATACACAGTCCATATAAAAAGAAGTAGAGTTTCAGCTAAAGATAAAAAGAAAACAAGCATACAGGATTACTTAAAGATGGTGACAATTAGAGTCCACTGAATTATAAAAAATATACAGTCAAAAGTCTTTAATTCGAACGTCCATAATCCGGACCTCAAAGCTACAAACTTTCCGTGCATGCATAAACGCATAATGCATTAACGCATGTGCATAATACCTTTACGCATGTGCATAATACGTTTACGCATGCTCGTTTAATGTATAACAGACGGTATAAGCTAAAATTATCTAATTATTTATTTCAGTTAATGTTGCGGATTGCGTTGTTCCTTAACCTTCTAATTGGACCCGGCTTATTATTTTTTGCAGACTGTTAGAGCAATTTTATAAAAGTAAGCTTGAACTTTTGATTATGTTAAAAAGAATTTCCGATTCTGGAGTTGCCAAAGGATCTACAAAGCAAAAGCATGTTTCGATGTCCATCAAACAAAAAGTGGAATTGCTGCAAAAAAATGGATAAAGGTATATCCTTCGTTTCCCCAACCTTTCCGAAATCTGTTTATCAATTTCACGCTGCTCGGCGGGGGGGGGGGGGGGTTGCGGGGCACAATGAACTGGAAGTTGATCTGTCAGCACTATCCTTATCTTCAGGGCAGATGTTTTATTTTATTTGGCTTATAATTTATAATTCCTTACTTAATTTAGTATTTCATCTCGATGTACTCCGTCTTTGATATGATTTAAACAAATTCCTCGTCATTACAAATATCATGAATACACATCAAGTAGTTTTCTGGTTGCAATTTTCCAATTTTGACTATGCGTAAAGTATGATTTACGCATGCGCACGTTGAAAGAAATGTTTAATAAAGTAAACAAATAAATATTAACCTTTTTTTTTTTTTGTAAATTTTGATACCCTTTAGATCATAATTGCTCTTTATTTTATAAATTATGGTTTCATATTTTTAATTTTATAATTTCTGCATGCCATCTTACCATATTTAAACTGATGATCTATAATCCGGAAAAACCGAAATCACCGAAGTTCCGATGAGTCCGGATTAAAGACTTTTGACTGTAGTAACAAGAAATACAAGGCTTAACCATAGGTAAGAGAAGATGAAAACTGACTATTAATATCTTATCATTATCTACATTCACTACACTTGCAGTTTTTGACACTTTCATAAAGAAAAATGAAAAACTGAAATTTTTATGCTGTTTCTGTTATAAAAATCTGAGGTAAGATAATATGCTTGTCTGCTAAGATTGATACTTTTTTCCCTTGCTTATAGTTCTAGAGCTACAATAAAAATTTCAAAATAGTTTTGGGTATAGCAGACCACTGGCAATTTTTTTGGCTTGGTGACCAAAAAAAGGCACCAAGTCATGGAAAAATGTGTTTTCAAAACTAGCATAATAATTTTAAATAGTGAAATATTAAAGCCACCAACATTTTGCTCCTTGCAGTTTGTAAAGACGTAAAAGGCCAAATAAAATTTGAAATCTATTTGCTGACTGTGTATCAGCTTTTTATACGCCTCCACAGGCTCTTTGCTGTATTTATATGGCATCGTGTACCGACATAAAAAAGAATTCAAGCTAAGATTAATCTTTAAATATTCCAAATCCTCTCAACTTAAGCAGTCGTAGCTTTTCCAACTATTTGGGAAAAAAAAAAAAAAAAAAAAAAAAAACGGTATTCCCCAGCTTAATCTATTCCTTAAAAATACCCAACAATATCCTCTCATACCTATTAGTATAAACTGCTTCCACACAATTTCCTCTTTACTCCCCCCCCAAAAAAATGCTCTTCAACTGCATGCTAATGTTTCCCAGACTTCCCAATACCCCATATTTTTTCCAATGACAACAATATATAATCTGTTAATAAACTGCCTTCAGTCCATTAACGTATTTAAAGCCAAAAAAATATTCCTTCTCCACAGTTTTTGTCTCTCTGAGTAGCTCATATCTTAAGAACAATGTTTTATCCATCCTCAACTTACTGTTAGAGATCCATAACCTAGCTGAAATTCCCCTCTAACATTCCTTGAAACTTCTCTACTAAAAGCAGAAGGCAAGGTAAATACAATATATAAAATCCAAAATGAAATAAAAGAAAGCAATACAAACACATATTTGATTCAAAACATACGAGATTATGACAGGGCTGCCAAATGGAATATCTCTGGAATTTACTGGATTACCACAAGCATAACATGCCAAAAAATGTACCAAATGTAAAAATTCCCAATGTGGTTCTATATTCAAGCTAAACCAGCGGTTCTCAACCTTTTGACTAATGCATATCATCTAAACAAAAATTGAAAACCTTTAGTACCACCACCACAAAGTACTACTACCACCACCACTCTTGAACAAAGTTTAGATCTCATAAATTTACGAGTGCAAGAGAACAAACTCAATCAGGATGTTAGGGTTCTAATTTTTTAATATAATAGTTAAAACTACTTTGCTTCTTTGCGTACCACTGGTTGAGAACTCCTGAGCTATACCAAAATGTTTTGCAAAATCCATCTTAAATACATATGGGTACTTTCTGATTTTATGATTCCCTTCTCTGAAAAAAAAAAAAGGCGAACTCATTGGCAACTTTAGAGAGAAATATTTGTTTGTGTATCTCTATTTCAATGATAGATACAGCTCTTCATCCATTTTCTTACATTATTTTTTTTATACAATGCATACACATTTTCATTTTTTCCCCCTTGCTGTTCTTCGCATATTTCCCTGCTGAAGTTGTGAAGTGATCTGCTGAAGAAAAAAAAGAAAGAAAAACACAGAAGTGCAAAAATTTAGCATTGAGTATAACTTCGGCACCAAAATACTAAAATAAGAAAGCAAAATGAGACATATAATGCTTTTAAGCAAGGCACATTATCCTCTGTGCAAACAGTAAACTAAGTCTGAGGTTTCACTGTAAATGACCGAAACTGCATTAAGCAGTCTACCTCTATTTAAGCATTTTAACAGTCTATGCTAAAATGCTTAAATTTTGATAGTAGGAATTATAATATACAATCACACTGACGAAACTATCAGAAGTGAAAAGCTTTCTTAGGATATTATATGTGCATGCTGGGTTACCACAGAAATGGTTTTAGTGACATTGTGGGTTGCTACATAAATATTTTTTAGCAACATAGTGCATAGCAACATCAATATTTTTCCGAGTCTTCTGGATAGGTGTGCAGATAATCAAAAAGTACCCACATATGCAGTCATATTTTTCAACAGTGATTGTATTAATAAAAGAAACTACAAATTATTCATTTGCTCTTCACCTTTTATCACAAAAGCAGAAATCATCTCTGGATTTCTTTTGTTAACCCCATAAAAGCTTTTATAAAAGCAAAATATTTTTAAAAGCAGCTCTAGCTACCAAACTATAACACTGACTGAATGCTCAATACGTCCTTTTCAGGTCTTCTTATTATAGCGACAGACTGAACAGATTTTACAATTTGATAGAGCAGCACCAATAGACTTGTGATATTTAATCTTAACCATAATAAGTAACAATTTCCGCAGGGAAACTTTTAAGGTAGTAATTTTCGGTTTTTAACAACGTAAATACTGCTGTCTGGTCTAGTAACAGACTAATTCAAAAGTATATTGAATTCCTCTTTAATGTTATAGTCCCAGTTGATGTTTTTAGCAAAGATAAGAGTAGGACAGAATAAAGAAATACATAAATATAGCTTAATACGCAAATCACCAAGCACCGATTTAATGAAACTTTTTTAGCATTTGTAAGTGATAACACTATTTAATTCTTAAGAAAAACAATTCAATTTTAAAAATTATAAAACAACTATAAGCACCTTCCTCTCGTACTTTTTGGTCGGAAACTTTTCACTTCTCGTATCTTCTGGATTTATGAATGGCATTGAAAATGTAAATGACAGTGTTTTCTTATAGACATTAATACAGTTTATGGAAGATAAAGTAGAAACTAATAACAAATAAAATAGTGCATATGTAAAATTTCTGAGAAGTATTACTGGAAATAAAATTATTAAAAAGCCTAGTCCTATATTATATATGCCTGAACGCCATAAGTTTATACTTTTTTTCCCATGACTCATTTTTAAAAATTCTGTTTGCTTCTTTCATTTATTTATATAACTCATAGAACATTCCCATAAATAATTTTAAATACTAAACACAAAAAAATACCGGTGACGGTTATAAAATGTAACTGTTTAGTTTTCATTCAAGTGCAGAGAAATGATGGTATTAACATTTTTTTTTTTTTTTTGGTATTTATTTCTCCTTAAAAAAATTAATTAGTGTTCATCTTGCAAATGTTTCTTGTAAATTATTTTGAAAACCTAAAAAGTGAAAATAAATTTTCAGAAATGTTTATTAGATAGAAACTAATATTAAACATATCTAGCATGAATTAATGTTATGAAAAATATTGTAAAATAATCGAATAATTTCGAGTAATAATTTTAATTAAAAAAATAACAGGTCAAAAATAAAATATAAAAAACAAATTTATACATTTCTACTGCAGGCGACAGATTTCCTTGTATTTGTGGTGTGAATTTATGCATTGTAATTCGCATCCGTTCGATATTAATGATTATTTCTTGGTACTAATTTTTCCTTCTTAAATAGTTATTATAATGTATCCTTGTAATTATTTCGTTTCTTCATAAAGCGTTTTTAAATGAATTATTCTTTTAAAGTAATATAGAAAAATTATATTTGTATCTTTTTATTGTAATAATTTTAGGCTTATTGTTCTCTTGGTAAGTTTTTGCTTTGTCCGTCAAGACTGTTCCCTAAGTTATAACTTTTTCCCTGCTCGCTTTCTGTGATCATATTTAATATAGAAGTAAATTAATTTAAAAAAAAAAAACCTGTATTAGTTTTTAAAAATTGAGACCTTTTTTTTTTCTTGCTACAAATTTGTGAAACCAGAACACTTTGTTTTTTGGCTGTATACCAAATATTGCTGAAGTCTATATTTTACGTGGATGATTGGATGAAATTCACTTGATTTTCGATGACTGGTAATATTAAAAGTAAAGCATTTAATTTCTCAGAATTATATTTTTTGCTGCGGCAAAACTGCTTGACCTTAAGAACTGGAAATTTCCTTCTTCCGAGATCATCGTAAATTGCTTCTTCAGTAACTTTTATCGGGAAAATTTTTCAAAATGACTTTGAGAAGTTTTTCCTTTTCAGTTAAATAAGTATGGAAAGGAATTTCTTTGCGTTTTGGTAATCCTCCATCTTTTTTGTATTCACGTAAATTAATTTCACTTTCATACATGCTTCAATTTTGTCTGTGCATATTTCTCTTAAATCGCATTCAACTATCAGCCAGTCTATCAGCTCTTGTTTGAAGACAATAGCAGTGGGTATTTCTTCAGTGCATTCATTTTCTGATGCTTTCAGAGTTTCATTCAATTTCTCGAATCTGTTTTCAGTAGAAATTTCCATCTGGTCAGCCGTAGGAGGTTTCCTCGCCATTTTCTTAGGAGAGATCCATGGGTTTTCCTTCAGTTTATCACTTTCAGTCTGTGGAGCATTATCCGCAGAGTTAGGTACTGTTGCTGCGGGAGGGTTGCAGGTTTCGTTAATGCATTTCATGATATTAGCTAGTTGTTGATCGCGTATCAACTTCAGTATTCCGTCATGGTCGTTGCTTGAAGGTTTAGGAATCATTTCTTGAGTGACATCAGTCTCGGATAAGGTTTTCACCTTCTTTTTCTTACTTTTCCTCTTGGGAGACTTTACAAAATCTTCACATCGGAGTGGGAATTGCATAGATTTACTTGAAATCATGGACCGGTCAGATTCCATATTGTCATCGGAAGTATCGCCTTGTGTCCTAAAAAAGAACATTTTGCTGGGTTGATCTTTACAATATGGTAACTGGTAGTTTGGCGACATTTTGGAGGCGATAAAGGTTACTACCTGGGACTTTGGTAATAATGTGAGCAGTATTCAGTTCCGATTACGCATTATTTTGCGTGAAATGAGAGATCATGGGATATGTCATGTGATATTAATGGACGAATTATGGTTCTTTAATCGGAAAAGGGGGGAAATCGGGAAAAAATGTGGAAATTTTTTATTTAGCTTTATTCTGTGTTGTGTGAAACAGTGTTGGGTACTTTTCCGTTTTGCCGGCGCAAGCGATAAAGTCGCCAATAATGGTACAACCGATGCCAAACGGAATATTCTCGCTGGTAACCTTTTACGCCTCATTTTCAAAACAAGTCGCAGCTTTTTCTTATCAGATTGATTGTTTCTTTCAATACTGGTATATAATTACATAGAATTTTTATCAGATAGTTCAGTTTTATGTCTAAGGCCATTTTCGGTAATTAGGTCAATTAGGATGCTATCACAGCTCTTACCCGAAGCCGAAAATACAGAAAAGGAAAGTCAAGGGTTAAATTCATCAATTCTAATGAGAATGCATTAGTGAAGTAAAGCACTGCAGTTTTACATAATTTCTGAGTAAGCTATTCGTACGCATTGAAATATTTCTTGCATTTAAACTTGTGTTTCAAATTAAGATTTAACTTGAAATTAATGTAGATAATTACTGAGAGCATTAGATTTTTGTAGAGTAGTTTACGTGAGATGAGATTGCTTGGAGTCACGTGATATGAACCGGCGAATTAGGATGTTGAACCATGAAAGCATAGTAAATTCTTAAATTAATGTCTTTTTACAAATTTATTGGCTTTTAATAAAGTTTTAAGCGATATTAAAATGTTTATGCCTTAAAAAAAAATTCTTAGAACTAAAATATTTTATGTGTATACTGTATGTTGTCGCCAATAAAGTCTGCTTGGCGAGATTTGCGACGGCGAAACGGAAAAGTACCCAGTGTTGTTTAATTTTTGGATCCCATGGCCCTAACTAAAGTGAATTCGAAATGGGTATTTAGGCATTGTGATAAAGAGAAGTTTGCTTTTTATTTAGCGGAGGAAGTATGGAGGAAAAATTCACAGAAAAAATCTTTCAATAATTTTATTGAATGAATTAGAAAAGTGTATCCGCCACGTAATCATGATTCTGAAGAAGATTAGGTAAGTTAGTATTTTTAATTATTTGAGGATATTATTTTTATGCATTGTTCTAAATGTAAGGTGGAAAGGAATTTGGTATTATTGGGAAAATTGTTATTAGCAATGATTTAGTTTAAAGTAATTAGGATTGTAAGGTAATTTTTATTAATTTAAATGTATGTGCTCATTTATATTTTAAGTAGTGATTTTGAATTTAATTATATTTTAATGAAATGATAGTTATTTTGTGAATTTTATGTTTGTAGGAATTTGAAATTTTATGTTTGTAGGAATTTGAAAGTTGAAATAAACATGCATGGAAATAATTTAAATATTTGATACTAAGTATTTGTAATGCTTGCGGTATGAATTCGTTGGTGACGTGTATAATGTAATAGATGATTTAGAGGTAAATGTTTTTGGATATTTTATTTATTTTATATGTGGAAATGTTCATATTTGTAAAGGGTAAATACTTTTTCGCGATCAGGTAATTTCATATATGTTCTTTTTACCAGGTTTTTAAAGATTGAGAAAAATTGTCATGTATTTTGTTGAAATTTTCTAATTTATGAGAAAAAGCAGTGTACATGGATATAGTGAAGAGTGTGCGCAATGCCATTTTTGTGCAATTCTGGGATGTTTTTTTAAGTAAAAATAAGTCGGCGTGTACATGGTTTATGTGTATGTGTTATTTTGAAAAACGCGTAAGGAGTATGGTATTGTGCACTTTTTCCCAATTTTGCAGTGAATATTTGTCATGATTAAGCAGTTTTGTTTGATAAAATTTCTAGCATAAATGTAATTCGGCTACTAGATTGTTGGAAGAAGTGTTCAGTAGATAAAAAAAAAAAAAAAAAAAAGAAACATGTCTTTACTTCGTGAAGACAAAATGGTGGTGGGGAAAAAAAATAGAGGGTTGCTGTAGGAGAGTTGGTTGCCAAATTTTCGCCAAAAAATCGCCAAGTTACCATAATGTAAAGATCAACCTTTTGCTGTACACAAGGGTACCTGCAAAAGCTCAGAAATACGCAGTAAAACCTAATCAAAAACTTAACTGTCCGCCTACGGTACTGGGAGAGTTCGCAGTGAGAAAAATCAGGAGAGCTCAGTAGTGTGTCCTATACGCTTGGCAGCTACAGCTCGAATCCCTCCATCATGTGAAATGCCAGTTGTATCTGTCTTCTTAATAACTTCTACAAATTTCAGTAAACTGCTGAAGAGTATCATAAACTTGTTTATTGCAGATCTGGCAGCAAAGCTGGTTCAGTGGTAATTTGCTATGAAGCATATTGGTTTTTTTTTATTATTTTTATTATTATTATTATTCCCCTTATGCAGAGAAACATTTTTAGTTTCTTAAGTAGCTTAGGAGTTGGCTTTATTATCAGCAATTCGTGAGTTTTCAGGTAAACCCTTAAAAGAAGATTTCCTCCCCTCTTAAAGTCATAGATATAGGTCAAATGATTGTTACCTTGGATTGTCAGAGGCACCTTGGAGAAATGTTAATAAAGTCAAAAGTCGTTAATTCGGACACCCATAATCCGGAATGATCTATAATCCGGACCTCAAAGCTAAAAACTTTGTGGGCATGCGCCGCGTCGGCACATGCGCACAGGCGTTTTACGCGTGCGCGTAAGACCTTGACTACTGTGCATATGCGTGTGCGCAAGTGCAGAATACGTTTTCGCCTGCGCGTTTAATGTATAACGGACGGTGTAAGCTAAAATTATCTAATTATCTATTTCAGTTAATGTTAATGATTGCGTTGTTCCTTAATCTTCGAATTGGATCCCGCTTATTATTTTTTGCAGACTGTAAGAGCAATTTTATAAAAGTAAACTTGAACTTTCGATTATGTCAAATAGAATTTCTGATGCTGGAACTTCCAAAGGATCTACAAAACGAAAGTATGTTTCAATGTCCAACAAACAAAAAGTGGAATTGCTGCAAAAAATGGATAAAGACATGAAGAATGTGACAGAGAGGTTAGTGAAAACGAAAACATTTCGATTGACAAGTTAGTCGGTATTCTCGGCACAGCAATTAACGGGACTTGAACAGCGGAACTTTGTAACTGAACAAGAAATTATGTCTTTTTATAGAATTAAAGAGAAAGTATTATCACATAAAATGAAGC